GTGTTTCATGACGATTTGTTGCCAATAACCATTATGGGTTGTGCCCAGCCAGACTTCAGTAACATCAGGTAAAGTAATATCCCCTTCCACAAGTATTTTGGCCACCGAGGGTCTGGTTAGGTTGAAAGTAGACAGATCTAGTTTCAAAGAATCTCCAAGGATGATCCCAATAGAGTAAAGAACCGGATGGTAATGCAACTTCAGACCAGGTAAACTAAACCATACTGGTATAGTGAGAGTTTCATGCTTTGGGTCAAAATTATGAGACCACTTGATGAGACCACTTGAGTAACTTACCACTTGAGTAACTTCATTGATTTGTCTTCGATATTAATATATTTGTTGGAGAAAATTCTGGTGCAGTCTTTAGTCACTGTTAGTTGGATCAACACATGTATCTCATCCATGAGTCCCACTTTCCACTTGCCTACTAGTTTAAGATCATCAACACTTTTTCTGATAACATCCATAGGAGGGTGTCCCCACTAAAATTTGCCAATAAGAGCAAACTTAAATTTTTTCATCAGGGTACAAATTTCTGATTCAGAGAAAAAGATTATTTCTTTTTCTTCTTTCCTACTTCCCTTCTTAATAAAAGGACAATCATCTGTACCCTCACGACATTCCTTCTAACTTGAGGAGAATATCACTGCAGACTCCTTCAGAGGGTTACCCACCACGCGGACAAATGAGATTTTGTCCGGCTCAACCAAAGAAGAAGGAAACGCCATTAGAGGCTGTCGGCGATAAACTGCTGCGAGGTTGCTGAAAGGCAGAGGAGTTGTTGCGCGCAGAGACAGGAGCAACGCCGAAACAAAAGAATCGGGCGCAGACAACAGCTGCTAGCAACAGAGGCGTGGAAGACTTCGACGTCGAGCAAAGGAAAACGACGACGCAAGCAGTGGAGATATTGTGACGTGAGCCGCAATAGTGAGTGTGAACGTCGACTTAGATGCAGACGCCAGAGCGAGGGTCAACGATGCGATCTTCTCCTTCCAGCGGTAGAATCAATTGCGACCGAAATCACCATTATATATATATATATTCGCCTCATGGCGAACCCTAGCGTCTGCTGCTTTGATATCTCTCGCGTCTATGCTTCACTTTGGTCTCTGCTTCACCTTCATCGTCTGCCGCTTTCTGCTCGAGCTGATTTCGCAAGGGTCCTCGTCATCTGCTTCTACGATTTTGGCGAGTTGCACTCTATTCGCTGCAGGCTATAGGGCGTCGTTCTGCTTGAGCTGATTTCACATGGCTTCTTCTAAGGGGTTTTCGCTTGTCTTTTTGTTGCAGGCTGAAGGGCGTTGTTCTGCTCATGCTGAATTCGCAGGGCTTCTTCAAAGGGGTTTCTGCTTCTACTCCCTGTTTTCTGGATTCGAACTTTGCTCCCTTCTTTGCTTTCTTCACTATTCTTAACGCCGCACCTCTATCTATTGGGGATGGCTTCAGACAGATCGTATGTTGTTGTCCTTGCGGGTGTCCACGCATCAAGTACACCTAAATCGTGTTATTTCCCTCTTTCGTTTGAGTGAGAGGAAGATATCAAGAAACATGGTAGGAAGAATGAGAAACCTGTAATCTTTTTTTACAGAATCTGAAGGTATTCAATTTGTTTTCTCCTATTGACTGAATTTGGTCGAGAAATTTTTGTATGACCATCCAAAAAATGGAGCTAATTTGTAAGGAATTTGAGCTTATGCAGCTGGTTGAGAGTGGAAAATTGGACTGTTAGATGGAAGACACATTCTCATACAAATTAATAATGAAGAGGATTACACGCGTTTATTTGCTAGAAGGATAATTTGGATTCATAACAGAGTAATGAAGATTCTTAAATGGTCTGTGGATTTTGACCCCCAGACGGAACGTCCGATCATTCTTGCTTGGATTCGCCTCCCTGATCTGAAATTTTATTATTTTACTCAAAAAGTTTTGTACGTTATTGCCTCAGCTTATGAGTCACTCAAAACAGACATTTCTACTTTTAATCTTTGTCGTCCATCTGAAGTCAGAGTACTTGTTGAAAGAAACATTACTTCATCTGCTTCTGAAGAAATTTAGTTGGACACATAACATCATGGGCATTGACAAAAGATAATGATCGAGTCTTTTCCTTCGTATTATTCAAATTATCGTATGTTCAGCCACTCCAGTTCTCAATGTCACCATCTACATCAACACCTCAGACCAAAAAAATACAGTGATTTCATCTCTTTCTGATCAGCTCCAAGTTATTGACACTATTGATCATAAAAAAGATACATTTTCCTTCGTATTGTTCAAACTATCGTATGTTCGACCACTTCAGTTCTCAATGCCACCATCTACATCCACACCTCAGACCAAAAAAAGCACAATGCTCTGCCAGAGGCAGTGATTTCATCTCCTTCTGATCAGCTCCAAGTTATTGACACTATTGATCATAAAAAAAATACCCTCGAAGATGTCACTATTCTCAGAAGCAATATGACAACCATTCAGTCGTCTCTGGAACCTCCTATCGTGGGTGAGAGAAAGATTCTTCAGACCCCACTTGCCCTAGAACCTATCACCGTTATTACAGGTGACAATACTTCTACTATTTCACTACCGCCTCATCAGGTCGAGCAAGTTGTAACTGTTACTCAGGTTCATGAGGATCATGTTGTAAAATAGCCTACACCTGTCCGACCAACTTTGAAACAATCTATTGATCAGATGAGTCAATCATCGGATGAGGAATGTCAAATTGGTCTATACATCTAGGAGGAAGAAGAAGAATGGATACCTACTTGAACTTAGGAATCTGATGGATGATACTTTGGTTATTTCGGGCAATGACACTCACCTTACTAATTTGTTATCCGACTCAATTTTGAGAACTAGAGGTAGAGGGAGTACTAAAGTAGGACGTCTCTAACACTTTTGCGCCCTTTGGTGGTTTTTTGGTTTTTTACATTTATGTATTTTTGTTTTCTTTGGGTTTTGTGTGTGTTGTATTGTGTGAGTTGAGCTTTCTTTTAGATTCTCTCATACAACATTTTTTTTATCTTTTTCATTTTAATATATTCGCCCTTGAGTTATTTCTAATATATATATATAATGTTAAAATAAATATTACTTGAATTAGGAAGTAATTAAGCTCGAGGGGTTATAGTTTTAAAATTTAAAGGAGAAAAGAGGAGACTTGTTCAAGCAAGCAAACCAGATCTTTTTAAGGTAAGAAACTGTCTATTGGTTTTTATTTGTCAATTTTAATATAGTTCATTAAATATATGTAAAGCCTTTATATTCTTATACGAATTTGCACTTTTAATTGGTTTTGGTGCTACGAAGTGAAGTGAAGTGTTGAACTTTTTTGAAAGTCTTTTAAGAGCAAAAGTGAGTAACTATTTTCTTTTATATCAACTAAAGAATTTAATACCTTAGAAAATTATTTTATGATTGTATGCATGTTGTAGTTTAAGAATGAAAAGAAATGAAAGGGGAGAAGGAGAAAGAATGCTTAATGCCTTTAAAATGATGTAATTTAAATAAAATAAATGGAAAGTTAAATGTTTAAGTCATACAGGATTACCCCTAGATGATACTAAAAGGGGATGCAATGTACCCGTGCACGTTAAAGGAAATGGTAACGTCTTCGGTGCAATTTGAAGGTACCTTCAGATACATTTTGAGGGTGCCTTCGGACACATTTTGAGTGTGCCTTCAGACACATTTTTTAGGATACTTTTGGTCATAGCGGTAATCCTGTTATGAATTTTAAAAAGGTTAAAAACGGTAAATACTTAAAGTGAAAGTGGAAGGGACAAATTTAAGGTTTTAATGAAATTAACTGTATTTTCTTCTGGTTATTCATATATAGCAGAGCATAAGAAATTTAATACATATTAGATTATAATTAGTCAATAAGTTGTACTTACAGTTGTAGTTAAATATTTTTTTTTAGGAGAAGAAAAGTTTTAGATGAATATGTCTGACAAGAGAGACTTGGTCTATCAAAGAATGACTATTGGTGCTATGTATTTATACAATAATTTTTTTTCTGTTTCTTTCAGATGTTGATTTACTGTTCAGTTCTAGATTGAGATATTGTTTGTGGATGTTGTTGCTGGATGATTTAAATTTTATTGCACTTGTAGATTAGTGACTCTTTATATGTTTTGGATGTTTTAAAAATGTGGATAGTTAGTTAGAGATTAATTTTGTTTGACCGCAGTACCTGACTTAGTTAATTCTAAGTACCGGGCCGAGTTGTGACAACATATATATTATTATGAAGGAAATAAAATAGGAATCCCTCCAAATAGTAAAAAAAAGAAAGAAAATTAGGAAATATAAATAAAAGGAAACATCATTAACGGAATATATGCTGAGCAAAGGAAATAAATTCCTTCCTAATGTGGATTTGCACTTTCCTACAATCCTTAATACAAAAAATCATGTCTCATAATACTCAATCATCTGTTTTGTCAAACTCATGCTTTTTAGACATACAAGGATTGAATACAATACAGTGGTGATCAAGGAGAGATGATAAGTAGAGAAAATGTTGGAGGAAATATCTTTGATGTTGGATTTTGAAACAAAGGAAGAGTCCATATAAAATATGAAAATTAGTTAATGGTATTATATCAGTTTTTATCTTTATTTTGACTGATTTTATTCATGTTTTGCCCCCATCCCTCCCTTTTTTATCACCCAATTCCTTTGGTCTCTTGAGTTATTTTGTTGGAAGTGGGGTAGGGGATTTGCGAAATTGACTTTGATTGTGCCTGCTGAATCTCAATCCTCCAGTAACACAAACATTGTTTCTGCATGACCTTTCACCGAGCTGTCATAAAAACTGCGTTCTACCTAATATAATGACTCTGATTTTGATTACACATGGTACTCCTGAATGATCTTATTTATAATTTATTACTTGAGTTTTTTTGTGTTTCTTTCTTTCGTGCTTATTGTACATTATAGGTGACTTTTAGTTGAACATTGTTGATAAACTTTTGGATACTTTTTGCCAGGTATGAAGGTCTTTCAGAGCAGTTTTTATCATGCCCAGCGCCAAAGCTGTTACTTTTAGCAGGAACAGACAGACTAGACAGGTTATCAATATAAAATTATTTTTCATCCTTTTTCTTATCTTATATATTAGGAATTTGACTTCATAAGCTTATTGCAATGTCCTTAATTCTATTGTTCCTAGTTCGACGTGGCTCAAATTTCTCCCCAGAGTAATTTCCTCACTTTGTTTGATGTATGTAATGCATGGAATTTTTAAACAAATTTGAAATTATTGAAAAACTGATACACTCATCTGACAAAGTTGCTATGAAAAATTGGATAATTACGTTTTTGTGATGTCTTAAAATCTAGAGTTTCTAATACAAATCTAGAATGTGATATATTATATAATGTAACAAAGATGCAAAATTTGCATGATGCTAGTTATGAATCTCAAACAATTGTACCACCTTCAATAAATTATAGCTAGTAGCTTGAATATGAATTATAGGTTCAAGGCCTAGACGTTTCTTGACCCGCCTGTCATTAATCAAAATAGGTTGAGTGAAATTCCATTTTTTTTTTCTATTTATTTCAGTAATTGTAGAAAGGCAAAAGGATTTTTTTCACTTTTCAATTTTCTTGTCTGTTTGGAGTTAGTGGCTGTTGATTGTGCTTCCTCAGTCCAAAGTTGTGAAAGGCCTTCATATGGATGCTTCATAATCACATTATTCTCTTGTAATTTCTTTGTTGTTATTCTGTTGAATACCTGTTTTTGTGCAGGGCCCTAACCATTGGTCAAATGCAAGGGAAGTTCCAAATGCTGGTTGTCCGTCACACCGGACATGCCATACAGGTTTTGTGCATTCGATTTTTATGGTCCTGTATCTTTTTATCAGCTTTATAATTGTTTGGCACGTGCTCCTGAAAATCGCCATAAACCGCATCAGAATATCAAACTTGAGACGAACTGTTTTATCAATTCATTCCAGACCGCTTCACAAGAGATGATTAACCATGTAGGTTTATAGTTTAACTGAGGCCAATCTGTGTTGGGATTTTTTTGGTGGTTTTATCCAGCTCTGGTCAATATATCAATTTTTACTAGGTTTCTGCTGCAGATAGGTAGCTATGATGATAAGTTGGGGCGTGCTGCAGCTGGAATTACTATGTAGTAAGCGGTTTTATTGGCCCCCTGTAAGCAGTGATAAGGTCATTGGATTTCAGTGCAGTACATCCACCATAACATTGTAGCCAAGTATGTTGCTAATTCTCATTGGCACTTACTGGAAAGAGGAAGATATTTGGAGGAAAGCTGTTGTGATTTGTATTTCATTTTGAGGGGTCTAATTGTAAATAGGGAATATATAAGTAGTCTAGGGGGTTATTTGTAAAAGGATTGTAAGGCTCTATGGAAGCCCAACTCATGAATGAAAGAGATAAGATTTTTTACCAAAATTTTCCTCTATATAATATCAGAGCTTAAACCTAACAGCCGACTGTCATTGTAGTGATCGGCGCAAGCTGCCACGACCGGGGGCGTCCCTTCTTTCTGCTCTGTTATCGCGAAGCAGCCACAATTGCAAAGGCAACGACGCGATTGCGGCTCACTAGAAGGGCAACAATGGGATCGTGACTCGTTGGGAAGGCAATGACGGGATCACAAGCTTTTTGCTGGAGAGTCGTATGGCTGTTGGAGCTTGTCGATGGGAGGAGCAGCAGGAAAAGGGACCTGTTGGAGCTTGTCGATGGGAGGAGCAGCAGGAAAAGGGACCGTTCGCTGGGCAGAGTGTGGCACAGTGGGAGTTGTAAGCTAGTGGTATTTGACGGCTTGAGCTGTAGCTTGGGCATGAGAGAGTTGGAAGGTGTGGTGTGAGTTGAAGAGGAGCTCAGTGAGGATGAGTAGTGGAGGCATCTGTTGCGTGAAGGGGGTTGCAAACTAATTGCAGAAGGCTCGGACGGGGAGTGCGAAGGCGAGAATCTCCGAGAACTAGTGTGAATAGGAAGAACAGTGCAAACGTACAACAACGGAAAGGAAAATGGAGATTTGCAGCTTTTGAACTGTAGAAAGCAAGAAGAATGAACAGGGAAAAAGCACGAAAGAGTTTAGACAGAAAATACAGAGTAGAGAAGGGGCTCATGCAGATTTTCTGTGCTACGCCAGCGAGAGAGTAGCGTACGGTTTGAACTGTCCATGTGAATAGAGGCGTACAATCGATTTTGTCGCGACGTGCGATCGACAGAGTAGTGCGGGGGAAGCAAGAGAAGCTTTAGTTGGATTGTGTTGTGCGAGAACAACGACTACGGTTTCGTGCAGAAGAGTTAAGGGACGTGAAACCTCTATAGCTCTTGGGTCGTGAGAAAGATTTGTGACGGCATGGAAGCATGACGAGGAATTGGCTGCATCTAGCTCAAGTATGACAGGTGTCCAGAGGGAGATATGCAGGTGCTATAACTGTGGAGAAGTGAGACACTTGAGCAAGGCTTGTTGAAAGCCACCAAGGAGAGAGATTGGTGGACGTGGATCGTCTAGAGGGGGCTACCGGGAAAATCTGATGGTAGCTTACCGATGAGTATCACGAGTTACTGGATATGTTGAAGAGGAAGCAAAGAGCGGCATGTGATGTCACTGAGGATGCATTCACTTTATCGTCATTCAAGTGGAACACTGCTAATTATGCTCACTCAGTCAAAGATGCTCGTGATACATATGCTCTTGCCTCTATACGCATTACAAGTTCACCAAAATAGATAGTAGATTCTGGCGCATCTCGATATGTGACAGGTGTCGCTGGTAGATTCTCTTCATATACTCATCTAGTAGTTCCAGAGCATTCAGACCGCTGATGGTACAACACATGTGGTTGATAAGGGTACAGTCAGGTGTACCGATTCTATGACTTTGTCCAATGTTTTGTGTTCCCCTTCCTTTCTAGCAAATCTTTTATCCATTAGTGTCATTATAGTCCAACTAAAATTTGTTGTTTCATTTAAAAGAAGGGGACTGACCAGAAACTTGGGACTGTTAAATATATGGAGCCTATGACTTACCTACCTCTCTCCTATTTTCTTTTAAATAGCCTATTTTGACTTGTGATAAGAGCTAAACCAATTTCTCTTTAGAGCTAAGAGAGAGAAATGAAGAGAGAAAGGAAGAGGAAGTTTTCTTGTAAACGTCGAGGCGCTCGACGCTATAATTTTTTGAAGTATTAAAATCCTTTGCAACTCCGTAGACTAGGTAATTTAGCCGAACCACATAAATCTGTGTGTTTTTTATGATTTGTAATTTTTCGATTTGGTTTTTTCACTTTTCATAATAATTGGTAACAGAGCTTTGATTCGAGACTGAAAGAAAATGATGGGCGGAGACGAAGTGATGACATCGGGGATCGAGAAGTTCAGTGACACAAATTTTGGTTATTGGATGATGCAGATAGAAAACTACCTCTATGGGAAGAAACTTCACATTTCTTTACTGAGAAAACGACCAGAAAAGATGGACGATGCGGAATGGAATATGTTGGATCGACAAGTTCTGGGGGTTATTCGATTAACCCTGCTAAGATCCGTTGCCCACAACTTCATCAAGGAGATGACGACTTCAGATCTTTTGGCAGCTTTATCAAGTCTGTACAAAAAGCCATCGGCGAATAACAATATGCATTTGATGAAAAAGTTTTTCAATTTAAATATAGCGGAAGGTGTGTCTGTTGCTCAACACTTGAATGATCTCAACACCAGAAGATGTGTCTATGAGAAGAAACTTCACCTTTCGTTACTGAGAAAACGACAAGAAAAAATGGATGAGGTGGAATGAAATTTGTTGGATCGACAGGTTCTGGGGTTATTCGATTAACCCTATTAAGATCCGTTGCCCACAACTTCATAAAGGAGAGGACGACTGTAGATCTCATGACAGCTTTATCAAGTATGTACGAAAAGTCATCGGCAAATAACGATGTGCATTTGATGAAAAAATTATTCAATTTAAATATGGTGAAAGATGTGTCTGTTGCTCAGCACCTGAATGATTTTAACATTATCATAGATCAGTTGTCGTCTGTTGAAATTGATTTTGACGATGAGATACGTGCGCTGATATTGTTGGCTTCATTGTCAAATAGCTGGATTGTCAAATAGCTGGAAAACCATGAAGATGATAGTTAGCAGTTCTACAGGTAAATCTAAACTGAAATATGATGATATTCATGATTTAATTTTGGTTGAGGAGATGTGCATAAAAGATTCTGGTGAGACCTTGAGTTTGAGTTTGATACTGAATTTTGATTCCAGAGGGAGATCATAGGACAAAAACTCAAATAGAGGAAGGTCAAAATTAAAGTCCGGTTAGCAGGCAACCTACTAGAATTGTGGGAAGGTTGACCACATAAAAAGTAACTGCAGGAATTCTAAGAAGAAGGAGAATGATAGCGCTAATGTTGTAACTGAAGAAATACAGGATTTGTTATTGCTGACAGTTCACAGTTCTGTTGATGACTATATACTGGATTCAAGGGTTTCTTTTCATACATTTTCTCTCCCGGAGTTGATGCGAAACTATGTTGCAGGTGACTTTGAGAAGATATATCTAGCTGATGGAAAAGCTCTAAACGTGGTGGTGATGAGAGACGTTGATATCACACTCCTTAACAAGAGCAAATGGACTTTGCAAATTGTCAGACACGTTCTTGAGTTAAAGAAAAACTTCATTTCTGTCGAGCAGCTCAATGACGGTGGTTATTCAGTAGTGTTCTCAGATAACACCTGGAAGTTTACCAAAAGAGCGTTAGTACTGACTCGAGGTAAGAAAATTGACACTATATATGACTACAAGTTTACTCAATCGTTGGCACATGAGTCAGAGGTGCATTGTGGGGAAATAGAAGAATGTCAGTTTCTTGAAAGGTTGCAGAGCAGTAAGGGGAGGAAAACTGGATCTTGTACACATAAATGTGTGGGGACATTCTCCAGTGACATCTCTTGGAGGCTAGTTACTGTAAAAAAGTAAGATTTGTTGGTCTACCAGAGGCCACAGTGCAAGGCAGTGATGGAAGTGAAGAGGAGAGCGGGTCCAGAACACCCATTTCTATTGTTCCACAGATAAATGGTGGAAAATCACAGAGTTATGAAGAAATCTTGTAATATGAAAATTCGAGTAAGTGGGAGCTGACAGATTTTCCATTAGGGAAGAAGACATTGCATAACAAGTGGGTGTACCGGGTGAAGACCGCGCTTGATGACAGTAAGAGGTGCAAAGGTTGACTTGTTGAAAAAGGCTTTCAGCTGAGGCAAGATATTACTCATGCAGTGAGAGTTGTAAGCAGATTCATGAGTAACCCAAGAAAGAGTTTTGAGGTACAAGACTATGTTGACACTGATATGTCGATTGTGTGCTACTCTTGAGAAACTGAAGTTGTGCTTCACTTCAGCTGATCTTCTAGCGTGAAGACGGGGGCTTTGAGTTGTAGAGGTGGAGGATATCATGTTTGAGAAAAAATGTCGGTAAAACCAACAGATGATGCAGCATGTAGGTGGTGCATTCAGTGTCCTAGTCTCCAAGTGGGAGAATTGTTAAATATATGGAGTTTGTGACTTACCTACCTTACCTACCACGTCCCACCTATCTCTTTCCACCTACCTCTCTTCCGTTTTTTTTAAATAGCCTCTTTTGGCCTGTGATAAGCGCTAAGTTATCTTGAGAGCTAGGAGAGAGAAAGGAATAGAGAAAGATAAATGAAGTTTTCTTGTAAACGTCGAAGCGCTCGACGGTGTAATTTCTCGAAGTACTAAAATCCTCTGCAGCTCCATGGACGTAGGAAAATTAGTCGAACCATGTAAATCTATGTGTTATTTTTTGGTCTTGGAATCTATGGCTGAGAATATTGGAATAGGAGGATCCGAGAGGAGTGTGGAGGATGTATTGCTACTACATCACAGGCATATGTCACACTCTCTGTTTAGTCTATTGTGTCATTTATATCAATCTTTATATGAAAAAGACAAACAAAAACTTGTGTGATGCTTGTGAGTTTGGCAAGCATACCAGGAGCTCTTATGTTAGCTCCAGTAAAAGAAGTTCTTATATTTTTGTTTTGGTGCATTCAGATGTATGGGGATCTCATTCTACAAATTCGATGGATTGTTACAGATATTTTGTGACTTTCATTGATTGTTTTTCTATGTTATTTGGTTATATTTGATGAGAAATAAAAGTTATATGCTTGCCTACTTTAAAGAGTTTCACAGAGCGATTCAGACTCAATACGGTTTTGTAGTGAATGTATTGAGATCTGATGATGAGACAGAGTATACCAACAAGATATTTGAGGAATGCCTATTTGGCCAAGGGATATAGCATCAAACCACATGTTCATACACTAGCACAAAACAGAGTAGCAGAGAGAAAAATAGACACCTTCTATAAGTAGCTAGAATCATGATGATCATGATGAAAGTTTCAAACCAATTGTGAGGACAAGCAGTTTTGACAGTAGCTCAATTGATCAACAGAATATCCTCAAGAGTATTGGATTTGAAGTTTCCTTATTTGTTTTTGAAAGAAATAACGGGATCCTTCTATTGATGGTTTTTGGTTGTGCATGTTTCGTGAAGAACAAAAACCATTAGTGTGGAAGCTGGATCCTAGAGCTGTGACGTGTATTTTCGTCGGTTATTCTGCTACCCAGAAATGGTATGTTTGTTGGAGCCTGATAGAGAATAGATTGTCTGTGAGCACGGATGTGTCTTTTAGAGAGCTCGAACCGTGTTACATCCTGAGGTGACTTTACCATTTGAAGACTGGTCAGGTACTGGAGGTACAAGGCACGAGGAGTAGAGTAATGATGATTAGAGAGCGATACATGTGGGAACGATGCCTTGTCCCATTGTGTGGTAAAGATCGACTGAGGAAGAGTCCAAAAATGAGGAAAATGAGACCGAAGGTGGAGGGATTTAAGCTTAAAGGGAGCTAAGAGTGTATACAAGGAGGCAGAATGAGGGAACAATAGCTGTCCTTCCCGGTCTACCCTGACGTCTGAGACACCAACACCTCTCACTTCCAAATCTAATTATTAAGGTGATATGATTCCTCTCCCTTCCCCTCCCACTCTCATGGCTTTAAGGACCTCTCGAAGCAATGCTTAGGGTTTAGGGTTCTCATGATCGTTATTCTCCTGATTGTTTTGGTTTCTCATATGACATTGCTCAGTTTGTCTCATACTTTAACATGTTGCCTTTTGACGGAGCATTCATTGCATCTTTAGACGATGTCTCTATACCCAGGTGTTGGTAGGTAGATAAAGTGGAACTAAAGTGGAAGATTGCAATGCTGGAGGAACTTGGTGCTCTCGATTAGAACAGGACGTGGGAGATATTACCATTACTAGCGAGGAAAAGAACACTTGGGTGTAAGTGGTTATTCACAGTAAAATAAAATCCAGAAGGGAAAGTGAAACGTTATAAAGCACGATTGGTGGCGAAAGGGTACAGCCAGATATATGGCAATGACTATGATGTGATCTTTGCACCGGTAGTGAAGATGAGAATAGTGAGGATGTTGGTTTCTCTAGCTGTGAATGGTGGGTGGAGGTTACACCAACTTGACGTAAAAAATGTTTTTCTTCATGGTGAGTTACTAAAGGAGGTGTATATGAACATACCACCAGGATTTGGTATAGGTCAGATAGTGGGCAAGGTGTGCAGACTCCGGAAGTCACTTTATGGCTTGAAGCAGTCTCCTCCAGGCTGGTTCGACGAGTTTAGAAAAGCTATGGTGGTCATGGGATATCAACAAATCAATGTCAACCATACGGTGTTCTTTCGTCAAAATAATGGTCACATCGCTTTGCTTATTGTGTATGTTGATGACATGATTATCACTGATGATGATGAGATAGAGATTGCTCAACTAAAGATAAGATTGGACAAAGAATTTGAAGGGAAGGACCGTGGACAGCTCAGATATTTCCTTGGGATTGAGTTGACTCGTGGACCAGAGGGGATGATCCTGTCTCAAAGAAAGCATGTATTTGATCTCCTCACAGAAACATGCATGCTAGAATGCAAGCATGCAACCTCTTCAATTGATCAGAAGACCAAGCTTAGTGTGGAGGCGGGAGAGCCAATTGATCGTGAGGGATACCAGTGATTAGTGGATTAATTAGTGGGTCGTCTGATCTATCTGAGTTACACGTCCTGATATCTCATTTATAGTAAGCATGGTGAGTCACTATATACATGAGGAAGGGTCACACGGATGCAGTGTATCAGATTCTGAGGCACCTGAAATGTGCACCAGGGAAGGGGTTGATCTTCAGGAAGAATGTGCATTGTGATGCTGATTGGGCGAGTTGTGCAAATGATAGAAAATCCACCTCTAGATACTGCTAGTTCGTAGGGGGCAACTTGGTCTCTTTGAAAAGCAATAAACATTTTGTTGTATCAAGGTCAACGACAGAGGCAGAGTATGGAGCTATGGCCTTAGGAGTTGCGAGATGATGTGACTGAGAACCTTTTTGGCCGGGCTCAAGGTGGATCAAGGAGCTCAAATGAAGTTGTGGTGCGAGCAAGTCAACAATCATTATTGCCAACAACCCTATGCAACAAAATAGAACCAAACATTTTGTGATTGATAGTTTCTTCGTCAGGGAAAAGTTGAATAGCGGGCTACTGTAGCTAAGTAATGTAGCCATTGGAGAGAAAGTGGTTGATTGCCTCACTAGAGGACTTAGTTCATTAGATTTGTCTAGATTATGTGGCAAGATGGATTTAGTGGATATCATTTGCCCATCTTGAGGGAGAGTGTTGAGATTTGTGTCTTATTTTGAGGCGCTTAATTGTAAATAGGCAATATAGAAAAAGTTTAGAGGGTTATTTGTAAATAGGATTGTAAGTCTCTATAGAAGCCCAACTCATTGATGAAGGAGATGAGATTTTTTACCAAAATTTTCTTCTATAAAAGCTAATCCGCAGTGGTCAAATTATCTGGTAGAGTTTTTATGCCAGTGTGGTTAGTCTCCCATCACACATGAGGAGATCCCTAAAGCCATAAGATCATATGACTAAATTTTCTTTTTAAATCTATACAAGGGGTTAGGATTTCTTACATTTATATCTAAAATTTTGAATATATTATTTTTTCATCACTGCCCTTTGCCACATCAAAGTCAATTGCAGCACTATGTGTTAGTATTACTTTTAATTATTATTTTTTTATGTCAGACTAACATTAGCTAGTTTATGATTTCTTTTAACGCTTTGTTTTAGAGCTTTAGAGTAGTGTTAATATCATTAAAATTTTTAAAAACGTTTTGAACAACTTTAAAAACGTAAAATTCTCAAATCAAAATACCTCTTGGGAATAGTCTGAAACCAGATCTGTATGTCATCAACTAATCATCAAAGCCTTGCTGTGAATTGACTATAAAGAAAAATATGCGCACTTATGTACGTAATTAGTAAGTCAATGCATTTATTGAGGCTTCTTGGCTGATTAAGAGGTGGGCTTTTTCTGTTTTGGAGAAAAAAAATAGTCAGAATAGAACTTTGCTATGGAAGAAGGCTTTTTTCTGGCTAGTGATGACATTTTAAGCAAACTAGAAAACAAAGCCATAATCCATTAAAATCCTTGGTTAGGAAAGCTGGTATCAAATATATATTTTTATTACTTTTTCAGTTGCTTTGCGTAGTTGGGATAATGCTGTGGAAGATGAATTGCATGGTTCGTTACCTTCTTACGTTTTCTTGTGAGTGCCTTCTTGCCACCGCATATGGAAACTTGTAGATCAAGTTTCATGTTGATTTGTATTAAAATATTTCTTAAATTAAATCATCATCTCATGAAATGGTCACGACAGTAAGCTGAATTTTTCTGTAGATATTACAAATTGTTCTCCATAATGCAATAATGGTTTCCTTTGGTCATTATTTTCTTATGGTTATTTTGACACTAAGGTTATGCTTCTGTACATGTACGGTTAAATTTGATTTCCTTAACAGATACTTTGAAATCAAAGAGGGCCAAGGTTCTTTTGACGTAGAAATCTTACAGCTTTTTAATTTTTTGGGTTTATTTGCTGCTTCCAGCGAAGTTTTTGACTTTGAAATTAAATTCATTAAATTAAATTTTGCAGGAGGATGTGCCTGGAGAATTTGCTTCAATCATTCTCAATTTTATATCTCGCAATCGGATAGGTCCTCGTGGTGTAGAGGTTAGTGATCACAAGCTGATGCTTCCTGTGCCGTTTGAATCCTGACAAAAATTCCTAGACTTCTTTATTCAAACCTTTATCATTAGCGATCGTGATGTTTTTTTCCCGTGTCTCTAAGTGATGTTAACTTTGATTTGAACCTTTATGCTTGGTTTGCTCCACTCCTACTAGTTTATGTAGGGGTGGAAGTTTGACACCAACTTGACCGATGAAATATCTTTATGTTTTTTTATTGAAGGTTTTTTTTTTGTGAATGAAGGAAAATATATATTTTGATTTTCTTGGCATTAGTAATTGTAAAATTAATTTCTAGTATATTTAAAATACTTCAAAATTTGCTTTTTGGCGTGCAAACATATATCACCATTATCGAGTGACTTTTATTGTCCTCTGCTGCTAATCCTATCCTTTGACGTCCACAATATGCCTTCGCCCATCATGCAAAACTTCTTACCAATGTCATACTACTTGTATGCTGAAGATCATGTGATCTATTGTGAGCACCATCACTAGCTTCTGTGGCTCCTTCCTTTCTTCCAGACCAATGTCTCCTTGCCTCCCCTCTGACGGACCCCATGAAATTGGCTTCTATGGAGTTCCTTGAAGCCTTGACCAAATCTTCCTTGCGCGTTGCTAGCAAGTCGAAGGTTTGGGTTTCCATGACATCCCCTTATGTTCGTGTATGGCATTTTCACTTAACTGCTTTAGTTATCAAGCACTCTGTTTGAAGGGTTGATATCACCTGTCACATTAATCCAAAGAATATCAAAGGGAGCTTGTTATTATTATTTTTACTAATGATAATACTGCAACTCTAGTATGGTAAAATGATGAAGCCTAGACTTATGGAGTTAAGTGAAAATAAATCAATGATTGAATAAACTGATGCCGAAATTAACCTAAAGCAATGACGAAATATTACTTTTATTGCTAAATTTAAAAGGGGTTATAAACAAGACACTTGAAAATAGGAAAAAAAAAAAAAAAATACAAACACAAACTAGGGCGTGGGGTTATAAACAAGACACTTGAAAATAGGAAAAAAAAAAAAAAATACAAACACAAACTAGGGCGTATATCGGGGTGGTGATGCTGTGGTTTGAGGGGACTTAATGGTTATGGAGGGTTGTAGGATGGAAGGACAACAAGGTCATGACTGGTTAGAGGGGTTGGGTAGGTTGAGGGAGGAAGGTAAGCTGCTGGGTAGCAGCAAGGAGGACTGGGGGCTGGCAATTAGGGATTGCAGTAGGGACAGTGAGGGCTGATAAAGGATTATGGTGGGTAGGGGAAAAGGGAGGTACGTCTAGACTGCTGTGTAAAGAGATGGACGGTTGGGCAGCAAGTCAGGGGAATAGGAGGGTATTATCAGGGGCGGAACTAACCTTTTTTTTTTTTTATTTTGTTGGAGGGGCAAAAAGGCCAAATTGTTCTTTCATATAAATAAAAACTTGAATTTGAGGGGGGGTAATTGCCCCCCTGGACCCTGCCTTGGTCCTCCTCTGGGTATTACAACAACAATAGGAAGCCTAAGTGGGATTGCAGTAACAAGTGAGGTGTTGGAGGGAGTTACGACAATAGTCAGACGATTCCCTGGTTTGGCGACAGGGAATGGGGGAAGAAGGAAGGCGCGTAGGTTTAGAGTGGGGAGCTGCAAGCAAGGGGAATAATGAATGATACACACCACCTCGGTATGATTTACAACCGAAACATCTTCTCATCGTCGGATATAACCCTAGAAGGGAACAAAGAGTAAAGTAATATTTTAGGAGGGCAAAAAGGCCAAATTGTTCTTCCATATAAATAAAAACCTGAATTTGAGGGGGGTAATTGGCCCCCTGGACCCTGCCTTGGTCCTCCCCTGGGTATTACAACAACAACAACGAGTGAGGTGTTGAAGGGAGTTACGACAACAGTCAGACGATTCCCTGGTTTGGCGGCAGGGAATGAGGGAAGAAGGAAGGTGCGCAGGTTGGGAGTGGGGAGCTGCAAGCGAGGGGAATAAGGAATAATACACACCACCTCGATTTGATTTACAACCGAAGCATCTTCTCGTCGTCGGATATAACCTTAGAAGTGAAAACGAAATGTCTTTGACATTCCTGATAGAAATCTCAAGCAAAAATTAACCCTAGACAAAGAAAATAACATATTTATAGTTGTAGATAACTAATGAGGTCGAGGCTTCTATCCTTGGGTGGCCAGCCTAGTTCAGATCAAGGGCCGATCCGGTCCCTAACTCAGTCAGTTTAGCCCAGGTGAGCCCTCCCAAGCCCCGCGTAAGTCTTCAAGGGTTGGGGGAATTTCAATCTCATTGTCAGCCTATTGTCGATGGTGGCGATGTTGTAACATTTCGGGACTGAAGGGTTTTCTACTGCAGTTTGAAAAGCACCGGGATCTCATTGGTAGCTACACTGTCCCCCAAAGCACCTGAGGATTTTCCCCCACCTGCGAGCAAATATCCATGAGTCTAATCATCTGGGAATGTGTGTCACACATATACTGTTGAATCCTTCCAAAATAGCCAAAGATTGGTTTGACTTGATTGGAGTGAGGGTAAACCTAAACCTCCTTGAATGACGGTGGCCATTGCAGTAAGGTTTTGATTGTGATGTCTTGAAATGCTCTCTATCATGACTGTCTCATGTCTAGAATCGGTGTCTCAGTCCTATCATCCTCTATCGTCATCTAAATTGATCCCACCAATTTTATTTTGTTGGTAAGGGCACCCGTAATTTCGGGCTTCACAGAAGGGAGAAAGATGATGTGCTTCTCTTTTTTTTTGTGGAGTGGGTGTTTTTGAACTCGTCTTGTTGAGTCCTACGGTCAAATTGCCACGATCTCCCCAACAAAATTTGACAGACGTCCATGGGTACCACGTCGCACCACAACTAATCCTTTAGTTGGCTTCCAATCAAAAACTCTACTAAGCACCTCCAAGCAGTGTTGATCCCGTTCTCCTTCATCAGTCACGTTAGAGAATACGGTTGGGAATGTTTTTGAGTCATGAGGCTCAATTTCTCCCTCATCTGCATAGACGCCACATTCTTGTTGCTCCCTTCATCGATGATGACTGCATATCTTTCCATTCCAGTGCAATAGGTGTAGATTATGTTGTCGTGAAGCCACTGCAGAGATCCTTTGTATCCTCAATCTGTAGGACTTGTCGAACCACGGGCATCTCGCCCTCATTCGGTGGAAGATGATACATCTCACCCTGTTCCTTAGCTTACACCTCGTCGCTAATCTCCTCCACTGCGCTCTGCTTGGTAAAAGACAATTTGACTCGCTTGGCAGCTGGAGGCGATTTGCCCAAATTCATGGCATCTAAAGCATTTTCGGGCATGGATTGTCGTTGGTTCGTTACTCTTCTCGGGCTTTTTCTCATTCAGGGGTTGCTCTGTCCTTATCCAAACCAAATTTCTCAACTTCATGAGGCATGCTCCTGTTGATGTCTCCAACTGTGGGTGTTTGTTGAATGGTAGTGGCTATTTGCTCTATTTCTGCTATCTCTTCATCGTTAATGGCAAGGTTTGAATATCTCCCACCAATAGGGCTATAGTTGCACAATGTTACTAATAGCGCGGGCGTCAATCCCCCCTAGATATCAGGCTATGGAATGTTTCTCTAGCTCGACCAACTCGCACTACATCTGCAACTGGTCAAATTGTTTCATGAACTCCTCCACAGATTGATCTCTCTGATGTGGGTGGTGGATTCTCAGAAATTTTTTATGGTCATAATGAGGATGTAGATATTTTTTTCTGCATCTTCTTCCTCATCTTCTACCACTTAGTAATCATGTCGTTGTTTTCTCTTTTTCTTTGCCTCTACAAGTTTTCCCACCACAAGGAGATGATAGTTTCACTCGTTTTGTTCTCTGACATTTCTTTATACTAAAAAATTTACTCAAAGGATTTGCAATCATTCGATAAAGTTGTTCGGATGCATACCTCCATTGAAATCCTGTAGATCCCTGTTGATGCCAAAATTCATGTGTCCTCCATATGTAGCCTTCTCTCTCGACCTTCTTTGATATTGAATGCCAAAGTGTCAGGGTCTCTCTTCCTCATCACAGAAGTCATCCCAATGAAAGATTCAGTTCCTCGTCCATTTTTTTCCCTTTGACTCTTCATATCACAATCGAGGTTAATCTCCCTTGGTTCCATCATCCTTCGCCTCAACTGAAGACGATGGAGCTCTCGCTATATCTCTTTCCAGTTAAGCTCGGGCCTATATCTCTATGGTGGCATGGTTAGAGTTTGGGATTTGTGGGAGTGAAAATGATATTTGGTGGCAAGAAAGAAGAAATTTTGGTGAAGATGGTTTCGGTATGTTGGAGGCTTGGAAACTCTATGATATAATTTAGGATTAGTCTAGCTTTGATACTAATTGATATCAGAGTTAACCCAAAGCCGTAATAGAATATCACTTTTATTTCTGAAATTAAAAGGGATTACAAACAAGACACTTGAAAATGAGAAAAAAAAATGACACAGACACACATTAGGGCGTAGATTGAGGTGGCGGTGTTGTGATTTTAGGGAAATAAAGGTTATGGAGGGTTGTAGGATAGAAGGACAACAAACTGATGATTAGTTTGAGGGGTTAGGTTGGTTGAGGGGTGAAGATAGGCTACGGAGTAGCAGCAAGAGTGCTGGCATTTTGGGGATTACAGCAGGAAGAATGAGGGCTGGCAGGGGAAAGGGGGGGTGTGGTTGGACTGTTGTGTAAGGAGATGGATGGTTGGCCAACAGATGGGGGAATAAGACAGTATTGCAATAACAGAAGGAAGCCTGAGTGGGATTGCGGAAGCAACAACCAGACGGTTTCCTAGGTTGGATGGTGCGCTGGTTTTTCTTTTTTTTAGGGGCGCGGGGGATGGG